GCACAAAAACGTTTAGTGGCTATACAACCGGTCTCAAACAAGACCAGAGGCTAAAATGGCCGGATCTCATTTTATAAAATCGCATGTCCCAACATGGACAAAGGCGTCCGGCAACACCCCTCCGAGTGCAATCGTCGCAGAGAACAGACTATTTGTCGGTTCTATGTACTCATGCAGACGGCAAAGACTGAACGACCTAATTGGTCAACTCATAGCCGTCTGACCAAAATAACCTACGAAGAACGAATAAGTTCCTAAATACCGGATGCCCATAGGCGTCATTCGGTCACCGGCTGAAGTTCTCACAGGTTATTTATTTTAAAATTGCACCTCACCTCAATTGGGGCAAGAGTTCAATGGCTATGAAATCTCTACCAAGACGGGCATAAGCCGTCTGGGTAGTGACCGAAACGCCTGTTGGTGTACGGCTGTGCACTTGGTTTGGGGCAATCACTACTGTGATTGATTGACTTACAATCATATCATGCTCTTTGCAGCATCAAACGTTTTTAAGTCAATCAACCAGCTCCAATTGAAACCAATCACACAGCCGTCCAGGGGCAAGGACAGCCAGACTATTGACTAGTTAGGCAAAAAATCGCCGCATGCTTTTCATAAGATAGGCAAAAATTCAAATGCAAAATGATCAAAAATGACTCAGTCGGTGCAATTCATAAAAGTCCATCCAACCAAACGGTTGTAATGGATCAAATGTTAACCGGACCTCGTCCGGGAGAAAGAAATTGTTAATTAACCCGGCTCCATAGCCGGTAAAAACACAAATACTCGGCACGCAGGCCGGAAAAAGCAAGTTTTGGCATACAGCCGCTGAATAAAAAGGAATTAAAAAAGCAAAGACTGGCATACTGCCGCTGAGGGGTCACTTCTGACTTGCAGACGGAGCCTCTTGGTTCTCCCCCTTCTCCTCATCATCTGAGGGAATTTGGTGCGCTTCGCCGGGACCAGGAAGCTTAGGCGCGGTTGGCTCATTGTTGCTGAGCCAAGCTTCAAAGGAGGCAGGCTCTAGCTCACCTTGCTCTCTCAAGTACACCACGTACTCGGCATAGCTATGTGCCATTGCCCAGATGCTATAATCAGCGTCTGGGTACAAGGCAGCCCAATCAATCTTCATACGGGCGTCGTTGTCAGCATCACTCTCTGCAACAAGGCGGTTTTACTCCGCCTCCAGGGTTGCTGCAAAGTTTTTCTGAGCTTGAGCAGCATCCTTCTCCAGCCTCTCAACCTTGGATTTCAGTTTGCCAAGGTCAGCCTAGGTCTTCTTGAGCGCCTCTTCAGCCTGTTTGGCGCTCTCGTCTGCTTTCTTCTGGGCCTCCTCCGCCCCCTTCTTGGCCGTCTTAGCATCCGTTACCCGCTGTTCGGCCGCCTTCAGATCTAGCTCCAGCTGCTGGATTTTAGACGCCTGTGTCATAATTATTGCTTTAGTTTCAAGTTCATTTACGATAGTTGAGTGGAAAGCAATATTATCAGCGTCTATGGCGGACTTCTTGGCCTTTTTACCTCTTCCCGTTTGCGGGAATAAGGACGTTTGAGCCCGTCCACCCGCAGCATGGCCTGTAAAAAGCAGGCGGTATAAGAATTACAGGCGGGATAATTACTTGGAAAAAATAACATTAAATTGACAAGTTTCTTACCTCAGCCAGAAGGGATAGAATGCGTTCAAGATTGAACGTCTCTATCCCAGGGATATTGTCCTTATCCCTCTTCCGGACGGCATCTAGCATGGCCTTGGCGTGCTTCTGGACGTCTGGCCAGCGGGGAGATTGATCTACACCACAATCAATACGTGATGAGTGCAAAACTAAGGCAACACCTATCTGTTGTCGACCGTCTGAGGATGACGTCTGTTGGGAGTGGGATTTCACCCGTAAAGGCCACCCCAGCTCAAGCGGGGATTCAAAAGGGTTCTTACCTTCTGAGCCGGCCAAGCGAGAAACGCTTGCAGGCGTGGTAAACCCCGCGGCTGCTGAGGGGTTGGCAAGATCAAGGCACAGGTTGCCGCCTACCTTCTCGAGTCGCCCCGCTATCCGCATCGTCTTAGCCCCGGCTGAGGCGCCAGGAGTTGACGCAGAGACAGACTTTTTTATTTTATTGAGAACGGCTGGGGCCTCCTCTCTAGCCCGTTTGAGATTCTTCTCAAACGATTTCCCAACTTCTCCCCCCTGTGAAAATAAAAAAGTAAAGGTTAGTATCCGGGCAAGACAGTTTATAAAATAAACTTAAGAAAGGGTCAGGCGCTCAATACCTTGGCCCTGAGCTCGGCCGCAACTTTCTCCGCAAGATCTTTGCGGATGGTCGCAGAAGACCGCTTGGGAGTTTTCTCCGACTGCAACATGTTTAGCGCTTCTTCTGCAAAAAGAAAGAAATTGATCAGAATCATAAATCAATTCCGATAGAAAAATACTACAGGCGGTGTGAACCCAGGCGCATACGTTTATTAAACATGTGCCCTAGCCCGCAGGCGGCTAGGAAACATTCATCCCTGAACCAGGCGCTCTTGGGAATCCAATTCTTAGGGACTTTTATTGTTTCCCCGGTTGACAGAGTTGCGTATGTGAGGCCGAAAAATTCTGCCTCGATTATTTTGTCAAAGTCTTCCTCTGAGATCCGGGGAAGAGCGCACTTCCTGCCCAACAAGTCGGGCTTCTTATTGTACAGACGGAATTCATAATTTTCCCGTCTGGTTGGGGCTGACATCAGGTAGAACCTGTGCTTCAAGCCATCGAACTTGGAGACCTTGTCCAAGGTCATCATGTATTGCGGCTGTGTGGTTAGAGTATACCACGCCCTCCAGCCGCCTGGGCTTCTGCTGAGGTAATGCATGCTTGCAAAGGCCTCCCAGCCGGGGTTAAGCCCTTGGAACTCGCAGGCGGCAACATACCCCAGAATGTTGGTCCAGGTGTTGGGGGTAAGTTGCCAGACCCCAAGGTCGTAGCCTCTCAAAATTGCCTTCACCGCCTAGTGAAGGGGGAAGCGAAGGCCGGCTATGAACGCCGCCTCATAACAACAAAAATAGCTGTTGGCGTTCTCTTGATCATTCCCCCAAGCGATGGTGCCCATCTCAGGCGGCACCCGGATCTTATACCCGTCTCCAAGCGGGTGCATTTTCTTAAAGTTCTCTAAGTTCTCCCCCATCTGGATTCGGTCCTTGGAGGAGACGTGGATGCTGAAGGGATCGTCCTTCTCACTCCACTTTTTCCTTTCTTCCTCCTCGCTATCCGGAAGAGGGGGCAAGTCATTGCTGCTCTCGGAGGTAGAGGCGGAGCTGTCGCTCTCCGTCTCCCCCTCTCTTTGGTCCATGGGGGCAGAGGCGGCCTCGTCGCCGCCTTGGTCACACTCTTCCAAGAAAGAGTCAGCAGGGGTTGAAGGGGCGCGCGGAGGGGACCTCTCCAAAGCCGTCTTGTCTCCCTGACCAGACGATTCTCCCTCAGGCGTTTGGCCGCCTGAGCCTTCGCTTCTATAATTTGGATCAGTGGCCGTCTGCATTGTCCGAGCCATGGTGTCCTGCACATACACATAACTGGTCGGAATCCATGGCAAAGGGTGGTCCCAACACCCCGAGCCGGCACTCCCAGTCCTAGACTCAGCCGTCCCTGGTGACCGGTTGGACTCTAACCTAGGCTGTGCCGTGTGTGTTGGTGATGCATCCATTTATTGCAAGAAATATGTACAAGCGGTGAAAAAAGAAAAGAGCTGAGAGAGACAGAGACGGTACCTTTTGATTTGGTATCTGAACGTAGGCGGGACCGGCTGTATTGCCGAAGAACAAACTTTCTTGCTCACGTCTGACTCAAACAAGTGACTTCTGCTCTCTCAAAGTTTTTCTCTCTAAGAAATTTTTGTAAACGTACAAAATTATGAGGGTAAAACGGCTATATATAGAGGGTAAATTTGGGGGCATTTCCGTAATTTACCCGGAAGGTGAACGGTTACTCTGTAACGGTAAAATTACCGCCAACCGGAGCGTGACAAGTGTCACAGATGCCACGCGGCGTGCCACGTCACATCTGTGAGGGGCAAATATTTAGGGTAATTTTACCCTGCCACGTGGTCCAATCAGAAGGTGACACGTGTCAGCCCCAGATTGGTTTAAAATGGACCAATCCCTGCTCGACACGTGTCATTCCCGAAATCAAGGGAAAAGGCGGCCTTCAGGCCCAAATCCCGAGAATGCCGCCAAACGGCGCAGCCCACCAATGATTAGGGTTCAATAACCTAATCAGGGGCACAATTCCCAAAGACCCTATAAATAGGGAGATGTCCCTCATTTTGAGGACACGTTTTATCATTTATTACACATTTTACTCTTTGATAGAGACATCCTGAGCTTGGAATCCGAGCAGATCCCTACCTAAATTTCCGCACCTTTTTTCTCCCTTCAAGTTTCTAACTTGTGCGTCGGAGGCGGAGCACCACCCAACTGGTGTCTCCGTTTGTTTTGCAGGTACAGCTCACCCCGGATCAGTCTTCGTGTTGTAACTCTCCCGAGGAACAAAAACACCCAAAACAAGTCCAGTTCAGTAAAATTAATTTTAGTTCAGTAAAAATAAGTTCAGTTCAGTAAAAATAAGTTCAGTTCAATAAAATTCAGTTTTCTTAAAGAAGAATTATAATAGAAAATCAGTAAAAAATAAGTCCAGTTCAGCAAAATTAAAGTGAATCAGGCCTTAATATTTACTTCCTCCGTTTTCTTTTAGATGCAACACACCCTTTAGCGCGGTAATTAAGAAAGGTGGGGTTTACATGATATAATAAACTTTAAAATAGGATGAGTGGTTGTTAGAAGTGTAATTTAGTGGGCCATGTGTTTTGAATAAGGAAAATAGTATAGTTTTTTCCTAAAATAACTTTCATTTTATAACGTGTTGCAAGTATTGTGACATTTCATTTTTAGAAAAGTGTTACAAGTAAAAGAAAACGGAGAAAGTATAAAATAACAATACTTATATACACTAATTAAGTGCACGTACGCGGTACCACAACTAGTTTTAACAAAAGAAATCTGAAATATTAAACTCTTATCCACTTCGTCTCTCTTGCCACATTTGGCCACTGAACATTCTGGTCTCCATACCAAGTAATTGAGCTTCCGGCGACAACGCTAAAGCATTAAAAATACAGTAGCAGCGATAATCAAAGTAATTAAGATGGAATCCTGCGCAAGAAGTGCGTTACAATTGTCATCTTTGTATGCTTCTTCATGCTGTTCTTCTTCATTCAATCACAACCAATTCAGCTACGTTTGGATTAGTACTCGTCGTCGAATTGATCATGAAAGAGGAAGAACAAGAAAAAATGGGGAATTGCCGCATTTTCAAGTTAGAGCGTCGGCACAAGGCGGACTACTACACCTGGGAAACATGTTGTTCAACCTTAAGGGTGGCGATCCTGCTGAATCCACCAGACAGCAGTATGCAGCCACCGTCTCGCTTATCAATCAGTTAGAACCCCAGATATCCAGTTTATCAGATGCTCAGCTCAAAGACCGCACCTCTGTACTTAGGCAGCGCGCTCTTTCCGGAGAATCTCTTGATTCTCTTCTTCCTGTAAATTTATGCACCTCTATTCCTCGTTTTTTTTTTTTTACTGTACTTTCTAATTCAATCTGTGATGAGAATGGATGTCAGGATCATCTGGAACTGGAGGGAAGCTTTAACCACTCGAGTTAACCTCACTAAATCAATCTTGCTTTTTAATTGCTGCTTTTTTCTGTATATATAGGAAGCTTTTGCTGTTGTTAGGGAGGCTTCCAAGAGGGTTTTAGGCCTTCGTCCATTTGATGTCCAACTTATTGGTATTATGAAGCAACTTGTGCTAGGATTATTGTTTTATTTTTAGAAGTGCTCGAATTTACGATACAATAATGTGGAAAAAATCGATACGCAGGAGGCATGGTGTTACATAAAGGAGAAATAGCAGAAATGCGAACTGGAGAAGGGAAGACATTAGTTGCCATATTACCAGCATATCTCAATGCTTTGATGGGTAAAGGGGTTCATGTTGTTACTGTTAATGATTATTTAGCTCGCCGTGATTGTGAATGGGTTGGTCAAGTAGCTCGATTTCTTGGTCTCAAGGTTGGCCTTGTTCAGCGTATGTGCTACTCCCTTTTTGTCAAATTTATTGTCCATATCTATTTATGTATGCTTAATGTTTGTTTAGGGACTTTGAATTATTTAGTCGGAGTTTGTAATGTGACTGACTAAGTTTGTACACGTTCACATCAGTTGGGGTTCATTAATTCATTGCAAAATGCAAATAGACAATCCAATTTACAGCATAGTCTGTCATAAGCATAATGAGCTATGTGTCCTGATTAATTTGCTCTTTGTCCTGCTACAATTTGCCTGTTTCGCCCAAATGTCTGCATGTTATCAACTTTTCAGCAATTATCTGACAATTGACGATTTTTTGTGTTACAGAGAACATGACAAGTGAAGTGAGGAGGGAAAATTACTTATGTGACATCACCTACGTCACTAACAGTGAGCTTGGATTTGATTTTTTGAGAGATAATCTTTCCACGGAAAGTAGCTTCTATGGTTACCAATTTCACGAGTTATTGCGTTCATTTTGGCCTTTTCATACTTGCAAAACAACTCTCTCGTAGGTAGGATGATCTAGCTAAATGCCTAAATGTACTCTTGGATGCTGCAGAGTGTTGATGAGCTCGTACTGAGGGCTTTCAATTTCTGCGTAATTGATGAGGTTGATTCTATACTAATTGATGAGGCAAGAACTCCTTTGATCATATCTGGACCTGCTGAGAAGCCTAGTGAGCGATACTACAAAGCTGCCAAAATAGCTTCTGCCTTCGAACGGGACATACACTATACGGTAGGAAATTAGACATAGTGAGTCAGTGGCACTATATATTGCTCACTTCTGTTTTCCGGAGCAAATTGCAATCTTCAAGAAATACAAGGATAGTGTTTATCATGTAGGATACTTTAACTGTGACACAGGTGTGCTTGATTTATATTATTCATGGCAACATTTTAGGTTGATGAGAAGCAAAAATCAGTTTTACTCATGGAACAAGGGTATCAAGATGCTGAAGAGATTCTAGATGTAAAGGATTTATACGACCCTCGAGAGCAATGGGCACTATACATTTTGAATGCAATCAAGGCAAAAGAGCTCTTTTTAAAAGACGTAAACTACATAATTCGAGGCAAGGAGATCCTTATAGTGGATGAGTTTACTGGCCGTGTAATGCAGGTTAGCCTAACATCTTGATTTTGGAGTAACTGACTTTGCAAATTGATTCATGGTTCTGTTTATCCATATTCTTTTTTTTTACCCTCCCCCAAGGGCCCTAATCACAGAGCTTCTGTAGTGATATTTTAGGAGTTGCTTCGGGGGGGTGGGGGGGGGGGGTGGGGGAATAATTATATAATATATGGATAATTGGTTGTCGGTTGTGCTTGGCTGGTTTGCATTGATGTTTTGCAAAAGTAAATGCAGGAAGACCTCAAAGGACATTAATATACTTTAGGGAAATTCTATGTGGTGGCCTTGTACTTTTGCAAAATGACCTTGATGTTACCTTTTGCTGATAATGGAAGTAGCTTCAGTATTCAATATATTTATGATTTTTTGTTAGGGGAGGCGTTGGAGTGATGGGCTTCACCAGGCTGTTGAAGCAAAAGAAGGCCTGCCTATACAAAATGAAACAATAACATTGGCTTCAATTAGCTATCAGAACTTTTTTCTTCAGGTCCCTGCTTCACATTCTTGAGATTTTCATTAATGCTGCACGATTTTAAACTCTAAGGTATCTTACTGTGATCTTTTCCCTTGTGCAGTTCCCCAAACTCTGTGGGATGACCGGCACAGCAGCTACTGAGAGTGCAGAATTTGAGAGTATATACAAGCTTAAAGTTACAATTGTTCCCACAAACAAACCCATGCTACGAAAGGTCTCTTCAATCTCCTCTTCCTTAATCATTTGGTTTTGTTTTGTTTACATTTACAGTGATGTCTGAGAGAGGAGAGCAGCAACAAGTCAACAACAAGAAAACCTTAGTTCCAAAATGATTTGGAGCCAGCTAATATAATCGTCCACAGTAATGAAACGAAGAAGTGAGAGTGATAAAATGAAAGTGGATGACAAGACTAGAAAAATATAGTGAAAAAACTAGGTTAGTGTAAAGTGAAAACCCAAATGAGGATATAATATAAAATCTGAGAAAGTTTTATTAAAGAGGATTAAGGTGTAACACCCCCGATTTACTAACCAATAATAAATAAGAATTAAAGGAAAAATAAACAACCTTTGAACAAAATAGCGGAAGCATACACTTAAATCAGAGGTATTACCGCCACACTCGACAACCTGTTAAGTGTTAAGGCTTACAAAATCCCAATAATTACAACCCAATAAACTAGGTGAGCTATTTATACAACTTTACAAACTTGTTATAGCAAACTAATCGAAACACTTGAGCTCCTTAGCTACTTGATAAACCTGCTTAGAAAATCTTGACTGCTCACTATTAAGGACAAATTCCAAAATAGATCGTCGCAGGGCCACCATAAGAAAAGTCATGGCCGCAAACACAAATAGCACAACAAAGTAACACACACGTCAGCTGAGTAATCACCACATATCAGAATACAAAAGATAATATAATAATTAACATTACTAGTTCAATTAAACAATGTAGCTCAAAACTACATTACACATTGTAGTCTGAAAAAAATAACCTTTATCAACTCAACTTCGAATAATAATACGAACTTTTACTCAATTAACTCATATAACCCATAAGAGTGCCATGCTCTTTGTTTTATACCTAGTCTTGGACATGGGTAATTCGAATAAAACCATCAAGTATAAAAATTTGAATACTCATAATAACTAGAAAACACCTTGAACCAGACAACATACGGGCCAATTCCCACTGTAGGGGACCATAGAAAAATAAATAATAAAGATTGTACCTCATTCTTAACTCATGATTATTACCCTCTTACCAACAAGCCAAGGACTAAGTTATATAACGCCGAGCCTCAAACCAAGAACAAAATAAATAATTCTCAACCTTTTGATCTCATACATCGATCAAATAAGCATTCACAACTAATAAATAGTATCTCAATAATGGCACATGTTCCCAATTAACATGACAATTCGATTCATAATATCTCAACTCTTAAAACACATACTAATAACCCAAATATAATCATATCTCAACCCAAAAATAATACTCTGCATTAATAACACTAAAACCTCAAAAACAATATTCCCTATAGCAACAACATGAAAAACCCTAGAAATAAAACACAATCAATCCTATACAACAATAACAAGACAATTAAATCTGATCAAATCATAAAATTATATACATAAATCATACATATGAATAGCAAATCATACAATAATTATATAAAACAATTATACCCTAGATCGTGTGATTACCTTTAACTACGGCAAGAAATAGCGCTGGGAAACACTGCAGTTCGTAAGCTTTGATTTTACGAAGAAAAATAAATTCTTGAGGCTTCTCTATTGATGACAACGTGATGTAATCATCATATGAAACATTAGATATGATGATGGAGATTGGTTAATCAAAAACAAATTAAAGAGAACAAAAGTTAGTTTTGGTAAAGAATAAAACGCATAAAAAAAAAAAAAAAAAAAACGGCCAGCTGCTTTTTTTTTTTAATCAATATTTTTTTAAGGGTTAACAATACTTATAGGGTTTAAAATAGCTTATATACGTTTTGAATTGTACAGTGCTATTTAAACAAGATAGGGTTTTAAAACTTTACAAACTCTAAATAAAATTATTATATTAGAAAAGTTATATAATAAATAAAAATAATTTTTCTTTTTTATAAAATATATTATATAAAATCATAAAATATTCGGGTATTACATAAGGGGAGTTAAAAGAGAGGAAGAACAAGCGAGTATGAACTTAGAAAAAGTTTGAAATAACTGTGACATATGAAAATAAATAGAGTTTGGAAAATACAATGAGTTTAGGTAAAAGAAAAATAGAAAAAGTATATAAATTTAGATTTTCTCCATCCATTCCGCCCTTTCCAATACCATATTTCCTCATTCACCCTCCAAGGTTTCTTTGGTCTGCCACCCCTACACATCACGACTCCTTAACTTTGTCACTCTTCAAGCATCTTTATAGGAGCATCATTCAATCCCCATCTTAGATTGTGAAACCACCTCAGGCGATCTCCTTCGTCCTGTTCGCAGTAGATTTAACCCTTACTTTCTTCCTAATTATCTCATTCCTTAACCAATCCTTTCTTGTATGAGAGAGGAGAGCAATGGGCAAAAATTGTTAAGTGTTGACCTTAATGGCTTTATTTTATTAGCATGTTTGTACAAATTACATGCTACTTTTCTAGCATATGAAGTTCATGACATCTAGTTGATAATCTTGATATACGAGCTGACCACTATATACTTCTTTCATCAAAACATAATATTCTCTTCATTTGAATATATAAACCTCCATATGGTGATAAAAAAAAAGGGAAATTCTCAATGGTGACCCCCTAGTTTTGCTATGCACCAACGGTGAGTCGGTGACCTCCCCTTTTTTTCTATTATACAAAATGACCTCAATTGTAGAATTTATCTCACTTATGACATTAATGATAGTTAATTAATTAAAAAAAACTAACTATGGTTAGCTTTGAAAAAAAAAAAAACTAAAAAAAAAAACCACCAACCCAACCACCACTTCCACCCTCATCCCCACCAGATCTAGCCAGCACCACCTCCACTTTCACCAGAGCCACCAAACCCCCTTCGCCTATACCCGAACCCTAACCTCACAACTCTCTCTCCTCTGACCTTCGATTCTCGCCGCCTCGCCGTGGGTTGGTTTTGATCGAGGTCGCAGGAGGGGTGGTGGGTTTAGAGTTTGAGATTTTGATTCTGGGTGGAGATCGAGAAGATAAGGAGATCGAGAGAGGGTGGAGGAGAAGGTGGATAAGAAAGAGATCTAGATAGATCCGTAGTCGGTTCGGGGGGTGGTCGTGGTTTGGGTTTGGCGGTCTGGGGGTGGTCGGGGTTCTTAGTTTGGCAATGGTCATGGTTTGGGTTCTAGTGGTGGTGACGTTGAGAAGGAGAAGAGAGAGGAAAGGTTGTGGGCGGGAATTTGAGAACCTGACTTGGCGGTGGTCGAGGGAGTCTGGCAGCGTTACTGGCGGTCGTTGGGCGACTCTGGGTAGCGTTGCCGGCGTTCGGACGAACATGGGTAGTGTTGTCGGAAAAGGAGATGGTGGCTGGCAGGTGGTGGCTGGTTTTTGGTGGTTTGGTTGATTGTTTTAGTTTTTTTTCTTTTTTAAAAAAATATAAATCTAACCATAGTTGGTATTTAATGGAATAAGGTTATGATTGAGATGAATTTTTTGACTAAGGTCATTTTTTATAATAAATCTTCAAGAGGGTCACCATACGTGCGTAGCAGAAGTTGAGGGTCACCGTTGAGAAATTCCCTAAAAAAAATGTAGCATTACATATGCTAAAATGTCATGTTTGGGTTTAGAACAAAGTTCAACTTTACAGCCTTTAGTCCTTTGCTCTCACTGAAGCCCAAGAAGGTGAAGTGCTTCTTCTTGACTAAGACCTTGAACTTTGTAAATGGGACCTCATCTTGCTGTGGACTGGTAAATCACAATATGTCTCTCTTTAGTCGTTAATTACTTGAATATCCTAATTCATCCATCCTTAGGGATTCTCGTCTGTAAGGTAACTCTTTTTAGGGGTTGACTCTATTGTATAGCACTTTGCTTTCTCTAAGGGGAGAGAGATGGCTGGTACGATTACATATCTATAATTATAAAATTGTGCCCTGCCTATCGATTTGCTGGATACTTCTGAGCAGATTTCATCTCCTATACCTTGTCATACCAAAATCAATGGCAGATGGGCCTGACATTAACTTGACAGGTTGTTAAACCTGTTCAGTCCTTGTCAAATCAAAGAAAAAAATTCGCAGTCGTTGTGATTGTTAATCTCTCAAAAGTGACAGGTTGCAGATGTTGTGACATGCTTTGCAGCCTTGCAATGAATTGACAAATTGAAAAAGTCCACTTTATCATTATAATTTCAAGAGTTTAGGAAATCGTGTTTTAGCGTATAGCATAATTAATTTTATACAGTGAGAGCATGATAATTTCCACGAGTTTAGGGCTGTTTCCATCACTTTCTTCCTGTGAGAGCCACCTAGTATTGGAATATTTGCTGCATCTCAGAAAATTTAAAACAATCACCCAAAAACACAAAAGGTGTGTCCCCTACTTTTTTAGACTAGGGTAATGTCATAGCTAACTTCCTGACATTGGCTAAGGAAAAACTTAAGTTGCAAGTGATTATTGTTGCATAGTACTACACTAATTAGTTTGTTTGTTCAGGTTTCTTTTATTATTATTTTTTAGTAAGAAGTTTGCTCAACTTTATTGAGAGCAAGCAACACCATGTGGGTAACAGATTTTCGTTTGATTCTGCAATATAAAGCCTTTTTTCGAAATTGTTGAACTTCAAAGTTTAAATTATTATATTAGAAGAGACATTCTAGGAGTCCTAATTTCATGACTTTCATCAGTAATAGGATCAGAATCATCAAGATGAACTTAGGTCTTTCTCTCCAACAAATTCTTCTTGTGCTAACTAATCTGAAATTCTGTTTTTGTAGGATGAATCCGATGTTGTTTTTAGGGCAACTGCAGGCAAATGGCGGGCAGTTGTAGTAGAAATTTCAAGAATGCATAAGACGGGCCGGCCCGTGCTTGTAGGAACAACAAGTGTTGAGCAGAGTGAGTCACTGTCTGAGCAATTACAACAAGCTGGTATCCCTCACGAGGTAAGGTAAATCAAATTGGATGAAATTAAGAATATTTTTACTATTGTAATGACCTTATAATAATTTAAAAAAAAAAAAAAAATTGATAGATGGATGGTGACATTAATTGATTGTTGTTTTATGTGGAGGTTCTGAATGCTAAACCTGAGAATGTTGAAAGAGAGGCAGAGATTGTGGCCCAAAGTGGTCGCGTTGGAGCTGTTACTATTGCTACAAATATGGCTGGTCGTGGAACAGACATCATTCTTGGGGGTAATGCTGAATTTATGGCAAGGCTGAAAATTCGTGAGATGCTTATGCCAAGGTACTGCTGTGAAGTCTCTCAAATTGTTCAACTTTCAAGCAGTGTCTGAAATTGATGGTGTCATACTATGAAGAAGGTTTCTAAGATGTAACTACCATGCTGTGATTAACTATATTGCGTATCCGGGGTCAAAGCTATAGACTTTAAATTTTAACTTTGCAACAATGTACTTCCTCAGGTTTTTATTTTAGTTCTACCACGACTTCATAGTTTCATGTTTGCCAATACACAACTTTGACTATTAGTATATTTAACTATCTACTAGTATTAGTAAAAGTTATAAAAAGTTCAAAATTCGCTCCATTAACATTCAAGTTCATCCTGTTGAGATAAGATCACTTGATTTGTAATACTTTGCACTTGTCATTTTTGTATTATTGTTATCCATTCTTCCATTAATATTTTGCAACTGCAGGGTAGTTAGGCCAGGTGATGGAGGATTTGTTTCCATGAAGAACCCACCTCCTATGAAAACGTGGAAGGTGTGCTCTTAATTTTGTATACTATTGATGTTGGTAGAGTTCATTATATCTTGCTTCTATAATCCATGGTATGGACTTGTCTTTTCATTTAGGTTAAAGAAACTTTGTTTCCATGCAAACTATCACAAAAAAATGCCAAATTGGTTGACGAAGCAGTACAGTTGGCTGTCAAAACTTGGGGGCGGAAATCATTAAGTGAGCTTGAAGCAGAGGAGCGTCTCTCTTATTCATGTGAAAAGGTAAGGAGTTTGAAATTGTTAATATATACTTTAAACCCCTCCCCCTCTCCTTCCCTCTTCAGTCGTTATCCTGTGCACCCGTTGTTACGCTCCTGGTTAATTTTCATTTATTATACCTGCATGTTTCATTATACATAGGTCTGATCAAGTGGGCCTAGTTGATATATTTTGAGTGGGTTAAGTAAGAGCGTTTGTGTCATTTCACCAAAAAAAATTTAAAAAGCGAAACAATGCATCTATTGTGAAACATCCAAAAAAGGAATGCAGTGCACATAATGGCCCAAAAAGGTAAGAGCTGTAAGAGTGTAAGACAGTCATTGTTTATACTGCTGAAAAATATGTGTGTGGGTGGGGGGGGGGGTGGGATGGATATGCAGGCCATGTGGCAGTTTATCAGTGGTTTTCTCATTCTAGTCACTCATATATATAATCAATAATTGGGTTTGCAAAAGATCAATCACATGCAAATACCAAATGAGATGCCACAAGCTGTTGCGATTGTGGCATTGAGCCTCTCCTATCCAACAATTCTGTATAAGTTTCCATATTAACCAAGCGACTGAAGGATGCGGTCACAAGGTTATATTATAACAAAGATGGGATCATCTCCTAATAGCCTCCTGGCAAAATATATTTCTCATCTGCTTTAGAGATATATGGGACATTTCAAAGAAACATGATACACCTATATATCCAACACCTCCCATTGAGTTACAGTGAATAAAAGCAAATTCTAGGCAATGAAGCTATCTACTGGGCCTCTACTAAGTTACAGAACTCTGTATCTGTAGCTGCTTGTTGTCATATCAAATGTACACTTGATAACACCTCAAGTTCCAAGTTGAAGAGAGCTAGGGAAGTGATTAGAGAGTATTTGGGGTAACTTGTTAAAATCCCTGAAAGTGTTCCTCCCAATAAATGGGAAGAGGATGAAATGTTCAACTTTAAAGCACTAAACTACTCCATGCTAGACGAAGTGATTCATTTAAGAAATTCAATGATCGATGAAGTTGAAATACTCTGAATATTATTGTGCCTGATTATGATTGTGGGTAAATGTCAGGGTCCTGCTCAGGATGAAGTCATTGCAAAGCTCCGACATGCGTTTTTGGAAATTGCAGAAGAGTATAAGACTTATACTAATGAAGAGAAAAACACGGTATGCAATCTTATGTTTGACCTACAAGCCATTGATGTATATTGCATTTCCTTATGTAATTTTCTGTGACAGGTGGTATTAGCTGGTGGTCTTCATGTCATTGGAACTGAACGCCATGAATCACGTCGTATTGACAATCAGGTGACTTCAAATCAATTTATGATAAAGTTTTTATCTTTGTTTTTCTTTGCTTGGTTTTCTATGCTGCAAAAATGTGGAATGTTAGCTGAATTAATTATCTTTACGTCATTTAGTTACGTGGTAGAAGTGGCAGGCAGGGGGATCCAGGAAGTTCCCGCTTTTTCCTTAGCCTTGAAGATAACATCTTTCGAATATTTGGTGGTGACCGCATTCAAGTATATCCTTTCTTGTATCCCTACTTTTTGTTTGAAAACTCTTTATCATGAATGTAGTATCCAACACTCTTCATTGTTACCACTAGGGTCTAATGAGAGCTTTCAGAGTTGAAGACTTGCCCATTGAGTCTAAGATGCTGACTAGAGCACTAGATGAAGCTCAAAGGAAAGTGGAAAATTATTTTTTTGATATAAGGAAGCAGTTATTTGAGTATGATGAAGTCTTGAACAGCCAAAGAGACCGAGTTTATGCAGAGAGAAGGCGAGCCCTGGAGTCAGACAATCTTGAATCTCTTCTTATTGAGTACGCTGAATTAACGATGGATGATATACTAGAGGTGATCTCAGTTGAATTTTGTACAGAATGAATGATTTCTCCATCTCCTTTCCTTTTTTTTTCTCTTCTAATGTTTGATTGCCCTCTGTAAATGTACAGGCAAATATTGGTTCTGAGTCCCCACAGGAAAGTTGGGATCTTGAAAAGCTCATCGCTAAAATTCAACAGTGAGATAAACTATGTCGACTTCATTTTTGAAATTGATCTTTGTAACAATAATGCAAAAATGTGTGTGTGTGCGCGCGCGCGCGTGTGTGTCACTGTGTGTGTGAGAGAGAGTGATTGTGTGTGTGTCACTGGCTTTGAGCTTTACAGATGTGCTTCCAGTCACCACAGTGTGTCGCTTTGATTGTTTTTTAGTTTCACAATTCAGGCAGTACTACTCTCCCAAATATGGAGACATCAAAATTGCGGATCCTTGCCTAGATAGTTTAGATTGACTTTTCATAAATTAGCATCACACTTGATCTTTCAAGCAATGATTGTGCATGTTAACAAAAGTTTCTGATATGATAGTTGCAATCCTCAGTGATTTGTCATATCTACTTATTGACAAGTTAAATTTTGGAATAGTTTTTTAGGGGGTGTGGTTACTTTTCTATTTTTGCTGCTTCTACTTATTGCTTCTTTAGCAAGAAAGGCAGCTGGTTGTACCAAGCTCTGTGACACTCTTGGCATCTGTAAGTCGTTTTTATCTATTTGACAGTTATTTGTTTTTTCTAGGTATTGCTATCTGCTGAATGACTTAACCCCACAGTTGCTCTCAAACAACTGCTCAACTTATGAAGATCTGCAAGATTACCTTCGTCGTTGTGGTCGTGAGGCATATTTGCAGAAAAAGGTTTTGTTGCTTTCTTGCCATTAAAATATCCCCTACTTTTTTTTCCCTTTGTGTAATCGTTATGCACCCATTAAAGTACTCTTTGTATGTTGGTGTCTTCCCCATGTTCTCTCTATCTGTGTTGCTTGATTTTCTGTTCACTTTGTCCTTCCTGTTGGCTGTATAAATAGTTGCTAAAGCATTTCATCATGTGTGGCATTTGGTCAGTAAAGTTATTAATTGCCATCTACCTCTCTCCAAACAAAAATAGGGATTACTGGGATATGCACTTATGCTTGGATTCTTATTAATGTCATTATGGGGTTCTCTGATAGGCAGAAACACACTTCCAATTAGTGTAGAGGGAGGTGATTTTGCAGCATTAGTTTGTTTGACTTTTGGCTATAGCCCATAAATTTCTATGGGAGTGTTGAAGGCTAATGGTCTATTCCATTGCTTAACATTTATAAAGCTACCATGATAAATTTAACCATAATGCCTCACCTTGTTTCATAATTTCCATCTACTTTTCCATGGAAACTGTGTGTCTTGGTGGCTTTGGCTGCATGGCTGTTCTGACCTTTTGAGCTGGCTTGAACAATGATTCCATTGAGCTAAATAGAAAGATTAGGGTGGAATTTTTCTGTTGTTCCAGAATATTTTTCTTAGTCACCTGTTATATCTGTAGAGGAATGTGGATACAACATTGTAATATAAATCTTTCAGCATTTTCATGTATCTTTTGTACAGATGTAGATAATGTTTCAATTTGCTTCAGGACATGGTGGAGAAACAGGCACCAGGCCTGATGAAGGAAGCAGAGCGATTTCTTATCTTGAGCAACATTGATCGCCTTTGGAAGGAACATTTGCAGGCTATCAAATTTGTTCAGCAAGCAGTAGGCCTGCGTGGATATGCACAAAGAGATCCACTCATAGAATACAAACTCGAGGGCTACAACCTTTTCCTAGAAATGATGGCTCAGATAAGAAGAAATGTTATCTACTCTGTATACCAGGTCCTTATCAGAACTGATATTTGGTCAATTGTGTGCTTACAGAATGTTATGTGTCCACATTGTGTTTCTTCTTGAGTTTTTCTAAACATTTTAACCACCTCTTTAAAACTTTCTTGACTTTTATTTTTTGTTCTCTTTTAAAACTCCCTTTATTTTTCTTGGATTCTGTTTCTTTTATTATTATTATTATTATTATTATTATTATTATTATTATTATTATTATTATTATTATTATTATTAATAATATTTTTTTTTATTCACTTTACTCACCTTTTTTCAAACTCATTCAACTGATTACCTTGTTATGTCTCTATTCATATCGTACGGTTCCTTTTGATGATTCATGTTAGCCGACCCCAAATCATTTTGGGAATAAAGCTTTTGTTGTATGTTTTTTCACATTATTTGGGGGGTGGGAGGGGGAGGAGTTGGGGGTGGGGGAGTTCCTTAAAGTACTCTCCATACTTGTTTTATAGATATAATAATTAATAAGTCTGGTTTAGGCTCTACTAGATGAAGTGTTCTTTATCATGGATATCTTAAAAGATTTTTGCTCATCTTTTGCAGTTTCAACCTGTCCTGGTGAAGGATCAGGAGCAGCAGCAAAAGGGAAAATTAGATAGCAGTGTGGAGAATAAAAGAATTGGTGATGCAAATCCTAATCCAGTCAGTGCTATGGAATCCTCTTCATCTGCTAGTCCTCGGAATACATAGAAGTCTTTGAGAAAGTATATATGCAACAATTTGGCCCTTGGACTAAATCACTCCTCACAGCTTATAGTTTTCCTTACATATGATTGCTTGATGTTCTTTGTAAATTAGGGCTACTGGAAATTGTAAAGATCTGCTGGATTTCAATTTATTCAGAAGAACAACCATTTGATGTGCTGTGATATACTGATATACTACTATGCAAAAGCTATACAGATTTCAGTCTTAGTTGTCAGCTATTCAAATAGTTCAATAAGCTGTACACTGGTAGCTTGTCTTATTTTCCCAGTCCACACTTTTTCATACACTGGTTTGAGGTGAAACGAATCAAGCAGAGGGAAGCAATGAAAAGTGTGTTTCTTGAGCATCCATACTTTACCGCCAAAATACACTATCAGCAGTGAGATGCAGGAATAACAGGTGCAGCGTGCAACACAGTCAGGTTGAATTCTTCCGTGTTGTATAATATTGCCTAAAAGTTATGGAATTGGAATCCTTTCCAAGTTTATTTAAAGTGGAGGTTTCTTCCTTGGACAATGTACCAGCCAGCTGGTGATTAGCTTGTTTTAGAAGAGTTACTTGATGCCTCAAGGACTACTGGAAATTGATGGGGTTTTATTCCTTGACAATGTAGCCATTGAAAATATATTACCAAGCGTCAAAGCTAGATGCTTTTGTAATTTGGAAAGATGCTTCTGCATCTCCAAAAAATTTATCTTTTTGGCAACACACCCACGATGGTGGAAAGCCCCAATAAGCGGAGAGAGTATTTTCCTCTTCATATGCCATGGTTGGCCTTCTTGTCCTCTTAATCCTTGCATCACATAGACATTGCTAGAGGCGACTCAAACATTGGCCTCAATGCAACCCGTTATAGCAAAACATCAAAGCAAGCACCACCCACAAGACCAAGCTAGAATTGAACTCGCCTAGGTGTTAATGCTCTTCAATTGAAGTGTATTGTTGACAAGATGGTATAAAGAATGTGTACTATTATCAAAGGTCAATATTCATTAGGTTTAAAAAAAAATATTCTTTAATAAAACTTTGGAAAATTTGACACATTTAATCTCAACTTTGCTCCATCCGCCGATATTAATATCAAATTCGGTATATTCACTATCATTACCAACTTTGTACCCTATTAATTTTTATCACCTAAGTGACTTGAAACTGGTTGAAGAGATAAACCTTGTTGACTTGGGATTACTTGTGTACTCATGTTGTGACCTAATTGGTTAAAAAGTAAAAAAAAAAAAAAAATTAAATTAAAAATTAAAAAACAAAAAACAAAAAAAAATCCAAAACCACCCAACGACAACCCGCAGCCTAGCCAACTCCTTCCCCCGGAGCGCCAGCCACCACCAAGACCCCCTTTTCCTGCCTGGTGTCGTTGTTGCCTCGGCCACCGCAGACCTACCCCACCTACCCATCCCTAAACCACAGTTTCCCCACCCAAAACAACCCCTCCCCCCTAAGAATGACAAAATTGGCCACAAACAGCCAAAATTGGCGGGTTTTGGGGCTGATTTCGTGGCCAATGGTTGGGATTTGGGGGATTTTGGCTGGTTTGCGTGGTGAAGGGGAAAGGAAAGGTGGTAAGGGCAGCACCAGCACCGGGGTATAGGCAGGGGAAATGGTCGACGACCGGAGGTCCGGGAGGAAGGGGGTAGACTTGGCTGGCCGTGGGTGGCAGTGGCTAGTTATTGGTGGTTTTGGATTTTTATTTTTTATTTTTTATTTTAGACTTTTATTTTTTAAAAACATTTCAAACCTACCACGCATTGACACTTGTTTAATAACCTTCTACATCAAGTTGGATGACTGGTTGGAGGTGATGAAAATTAATAGGGTATGAAGTTGGGAGCGATGATGAATAAACTAAAGTTGGGATTAATATTGGCGGATGAAGCAAAGTTGAGATTAATTGTGGCAATTTTTCGTAAAATTTTTACTTGTGGAAATTTTCATTCACAAATTCTAATAAAAATTCTCAATCCTCATCCCGAACTCCAATTTTTATACAACGTACACCTGATATATATACGTGATAAGGGTAAATATTTAAGACTTCAGGTTATGATGAGGTCATTTCATGAAACTTTATTCAATTCAAAAATAACTAGCAAATGTTGTACATAGTCTAGAGACGCTAATAATGAGAACAAGTAAAAGGTGACAAAAGAATTCCTAGCTCAACCACTCTCTAACTTAGGCTTCATCCGCGGCTCTACTAGCTTAATTAGGTAAAAGGAAAATGAAACAGGTTACCTAACTTAAAAGGCTTAAAGAACAACTCATTTACAACAATTAATCATAAATATAGTTACAAAGAACTCAACAAGCATACTCAAACTAACTTGTGTAGCTTGCTTTACGTTTTTGGTCTACAAATTAAGGACGGAATTTATCCTTAAGTTTTCAGTATGCCTTCAGATCGGATACCGGTGAATCCGAGAATCTATCCAACTTCCATTGTCATAGACCAGGCAACAAAACCTACAGTTCCTTTAGTTCCTAGAAACAGTTCGATTTCATCAGATAAAGGGCACACAATGGGCAACAATCCACCCCCTTATCCACAGTCATTACCGCCTTTTCGTTCTCTTGCCAGACAGCCAAAGGGCCGAAGCTGCTGTTGCAGAGTCATCTGTTGCATATTTTCTTTACTGGCTACCTTCTTACTTGTCGTTGGGATTCTTGCCCTCGTTTTCTTCTTGGTTTTTCATCCTAAAGTTCCTAGCTACTCGGTTGACAGGCTAAGAATAACCGACTTCAGGCTCAATCTGGACCTTAGCCTGTATGCTAGGTTCAACGTGAGGGTAACAGCAAAGAATCCGAATAAAAAGATTGGTATATACTATGAAAAAGGAGGTAAAATGAGTGTTTGGTACAAGAAAACTAACCTGTGTCAAGGGTCTTTTCCAGCATTCTATCAGAGTCCGCTTAATACAACAGCAACTGATGTCTCCCTTTCGGGGCAAAACCAGTATGGGAACACGTTGATGCAAGCGTTGCAGCAGCAACAGCAGACGGGAAACATTCCTTTGGAGCTTAAAGTGGATCAACCTGTTTCGATTAAAGTCCAGAGTATGAAGCTTGGGAAAGTGAGGTTTTTGGTTAACTGCCAGTTGACAGTGGATAGCTTGAGCTCCAATAATGCCATTAGTATTAAAGCTAGCAATTGCAAAATCAGGGTGAAACTTTGAATCGATTCATTTTCCTAGATTTCAGCAATTAAGAAATAATGAATTAATCTATATCTTCAATTGTTTGACTATTTGTCGTTTTTGTTCATGTATATCTCAGCTTTATTTTCTTTCTTTGTTTTTTTCTACCCAGATTAACGTCTCTTTATTTGTATTTGTATACTATAAAAGCTTTTTCTCAACTTAGTATAAACTAGTGTCTTTTGTTTACGTAACTGGAGATTTTACTATAGTCTACGATAACCAAATAAATTCTCGTGTTTTATCTTCCCTGTAAATCTGTAATTACTAGACTACACGTTCAAATTGCAAATGAGTTGGCTAGACCGTGGCTAATTGTCTGAATGCACAACATATATTCGAGCTCGACTCAAGGGCATAAACCCAGAATCTCCATGCAAGATCCACATTCCTCCTCACACCACCCCTTGGGTCCCCAAACAACCCTATTAAGGCCTAAAATGCACATCATAAATAATTAAATATATAAATTTGGCAACACTGCTACCCGACCATGTTCAGCTCTTTTAAAATTGACCAAAACTTTACTGAAGTTGATGAAATTACTTAATGGTTCATACTATATGGTAGACATTGATTATCTTCTTCTACGGAGAGTAGTTTTATTTTAAAATTTACAGTAGTAATTTCAGCATCTATAATATATATTAAAATATTAAATTCCACTGTATTTCTAGCCAAATAGGGTTTTTTTTGCTCTCAGGGAAAAGTTAGTGAATATAACGCTCAAGTAATTTAATAAAGTGTCCATTAGAACATAAGATGAAACTTCTTTGGAGCGATGCAATTCTCAATGTTGTTTTGACACTAGCGTAGCTAGGTACTTTTTGTTAAACTGTATAGTACTTCAAGTAAAGCAAGACTAAATGTTACAGCTTACCTTGATTTTGTCAAATTTATCAGCTTTGTCAACTCACCAACATATTTTTCAGCAAGGCAACGATATGCCACAAGAAGTATTGTTGGAGGCCACACCAACTGGCGTTAGTGTTCAAGAATTAATAACTTCCCTCTAAAGTTTGCAGTTCTTAAGTGCCAAGCATTTGATTGTTACAACCTACAGGAGTGTTGATATAAAAACTCATATGACCAGGTGACCAGGCTTTTGATAACAGATGGTCATTATAAACATGATCTAGCAACTTTCTATAAGTTATTTTGAAAATTCTAGTCACCAACAAGAGCCCGTGGTCTATGTTCAAAAGTGAATAAAGACATTCCAGTTTGGGAGACAGCTCTCACATATCCCATGTTTGCCGTCAAAGTTGGAACACCCCAATAATCTCCAGTGCCAAAAGTAACCTTATTCTTCATGGCTAGCTTCCTGGTGACTGGGAGGGCCATCATGCGTGGTGATGGAGTATCAGGGACAACCCTGTGAGATTATTACCAGTTATCAATAAAAGCACGATAAAATAGATGTATTCAGATGTTTAAATCACAGGGCTAAGGAGTTTCAGCTATATATTGATTGAAGTTCACACTTCACACAATTACCCCAAAACCACTTAGTGATTGCATTCATCTCACCCTAAACTGGACTAAAACCATCTGACATTAAGATCTGGGTCTAACAGTTATCTGAACTAGTTAGAACTTATCTAAATTTATTTTAGTTGTCAATACAACTCATTAGCCTTAATCTCATCTAATTTAAATGAACTTACTAAATTAATTCTGTTGCCTAATTGCTTACAAATGTAATAGTACTCTACTATGACATCATTAAGTAACCGATGGAGAATCTTACAAGTCTAAAACTATTACTATGGAATTTCTTACCTCACAAATATGGACTTTAACATTAATCAATTGTCCACCAACACCCCCCCCCCCCTCTTCAAACTTTTTTCCTTACCTGTTTTGATCTCTAAGAACAAAAAAATTCCCGCTAGACCTTAAAATGGTTCCCCAAGATGCCAAAACTGTAAAAGCAGTAACTATGACTGGCTTAGCTCAGTAAACAATCTAAATTCAACTGGCCAATTTACATACACCCTGACCCCAACTGTCATTTGCATAGTTCTCTTGAATACCAACTTTCTGCAGGGATGTCTAGGGGTGTCTTGACCTGTGGAACAAGTATTTGTAAACATCTCCGGGTCCTTGAGAAAAGACTGGCTGGGTCCACTTCTTCCAATAACAGCTAAGAAACGGGTTTAGGAAAGATAGCAAAAACATGATTTTGAATTCTCGTCACCTCCTTGCTTCTGTCATCGTACAATCCTCTTCCCGACGAGCCCGCCTTCTCCTCGATCCAAGAGACAAAATGTGGGGAAAATAACATGTGGAGCTTATGCATTGGAAGGCCAAGTATCCCCCAAAACTCCCCTAATTATCCTTTTTTTTTTACTCCCTCCGTTCTAAATTGTTTACCCCATAGCCATAGTTTACTTTATTACATTCTGGTTGAGTGAAATGGATGAGAAATATTGGCAGGATCTTCAATGATTTTGGTGAAGATACAGTTGTATTCCCTTGTGGACATTTATGGTGTGAGGAAATCTTTTAGGGATGGCCTTAAAAGGAAAGTGGGGCAAACTTCAAGGAATGGAGGGAGAAGTAAACTGTGCATTGCTTTTCGCAGGACTTTGCCTAAGTAACAAAGTTAACCAAAAAAGAAAAAGAAAAAGTAAAAGAAAAGGAAGATTTTAAAGAAAGCCAAAGTACTCTCACAGTCATACAAAAATAAAAAGCAATAAGATTGAAAAAAAAATCTCTTGATTCAACCGAAAAGGCAGAAGTATCAAACAATAAAATCAATAAAAACAAAGAATTATTGTAATGAAAGTCTCAGTAAGCAAAGTACTAGGCTTGTTTGTTGCCTTTTGGTTCAAGGGTTTACTAGAAATAATCTACTCAAAATGGTAAAGTGGAGCTAAATAAAAGCTTAGTGCAATGCAAGGGTGAAGGGTATGCAGCATAAATGCCTTCCTCCCCCCCCCCCCCCCAACCAAAAAAAAAAGTCAATGGTATGGCATGGCACTAAACAAAAATGTGATCATGAAGTAGATAAAAGTATAAGGGCAATTTAGAGCAGATAACCAAAAGCATAACAGAAAATCAACAAATCCAAGATTTTGATATATTGCACAGGAGGGAGAAGAGCATAGGTAAGGAAAAAGCTTACTTGAGAAGCTTGACCAATTGAGTGGCTCTTGTCTTCTCATTAGGGCCTCCAAACATAGAAACCAACTCCATAAATTCTATATGAACACTTTTACATACAATGCCCTTTTCGCCAGATAATGCAGAATACATTTCCTCATGGATTGGACTCTCAATTTCAGACTTTGCCTGGGTATTAAAAGACATTTTTCAGCACCATTAGGAGAAACTTTATCAGTGAAAACCCATAGTACATCACCGATGCTAATGAAGTCTTCAATTCAATTGTGCCAGAAAGGCCTAAAGTAAATGCAGGAATATTTTCACATTAAAAGTTCAGCCAATCAGTAAGCTTCTGGATATTATCAATCATGCTACCCAATGTTACACGGAACGTGGTACGTTTTGGAATGTGGTACGGGAACGGGAATGGGGTATGTGGGGTCTGAAGTTCCCAGAACGTTAGGTTATTTTTTGAGTTGACTTTTAATTTTATAATTAGTAAATTTTATAAGAGTAACGTTTACTAGAACCAATATTAATATGTGATTTCCTTAAAAAAAAAAAAAAGGAATTAATCTAATATATATAAATAAAGTAGGCATTTTTGAAGAGAATTCGGCACGCCACATAAGAAAGGGTATTATTTTGACCAATAAAAAATTAGATTAATAATTTATTTTAGAATTAAAAAATTCACTTGCCACCTAAGTAAAAGTGACGAATAAGATTTTAAAATTTTGCTACATATGTAAAAACAACGAATAGTAAATAATTAAAATTTAAACTATTAAAAAAAAATAATAATTATCTTTTTTTACATATATCAATGCAAATCTTTGATCGCAAATATATTTAATCGTTCCCTAGCAAATATTACAAAAATTAGATATTAATAATGTAGTCATCGAGACGAATAAAACTAAATCTCATAGGACTATGTTTGTCCTTATATAGAGGGAGAAATTTAGAAAATTCTCTCTAATTTTTAATAATTAAAAGATTCTAAACGAGAATAACATTTTGAAACAAAACGAGCATATAAAAAAACGCATAAGCAAAGGGCTTATTTTAATCAATAAAAAAAGATGTCATTTAGGGCCTGTTCACTTCAGCTTAATTTCAGTTCAGTTTAGTTTAGTTCGTCTTCAATCAGTTCAATTCAGTTCAGCTCTTAATTTCCATCTCTCATAAATTAATCATTTCAGCTCTACTAAGTTCAGTTCAGTAAATATGAACAGACCCTTATTTTTGAATGAAAAATTTAAATTGTCACCTAAAGCAATATTAATGGCATGTACAATAAATTTATTATTTAATGTATATTTAATTACATATTTGGGATTTTAAATTCAAGCACCACGTAAAATAAATAAAATAACGAAATATATATCTTTAGTGTTAAATTAACAAAAAATATCTTATGATATTAGGAATTTTATCCAAATATTTCATGAATGATCTTCATAAATGTACAAAATCTTATATTAAATAAAATAATTTACTAGAACCGTGCATCGCACGGGCTTACATCTATTTTGTATTATGACTTGTAGACTACACAATTATCCATGCCATTCTTCCCAATGAGACAGCCAAATTTTAACAAAGTAACATTATAGCTGTACACACTAATAGATGCCAACTTGCCTATAAACATTATAAAAAATTTAAAATAATAATTAAAAAAAAAAGATAAAAAGAAAGGGTCCACAACTTCTTTTTTTCATTAGGTTAGGTTTGCATGTGACTTGTCCGTCATCTTCTTCCCTTTATCAATTCTTCATCTCCCTCCATTAATGTAAGTATGTATCTATTAAAAACTTCCAATAAACTTGAAATTTCAAACAAAATACAGTTGTTGCGCAAGAAAATAGAAGGTTGTTACACCCATAAATGGGTACTCCATCAATGACGTTCCAGATTGCGAACCACCACGAACCGGAACGAGTCCGTTCCGCGTTTCGGGACACACGACCTGGTGCGCGGATCGCGCTGCCGTCCCGCGTTCCGTGTATCTTTGATGCTACTTATGAAAGTCTTAGTAAGAAAGAGATTATGTAATGCACCACCCTAGGCCACCCATTGTTCGTACCTACAGCAGAAGGAAGCAGCAACAACAGGGCACAAACAACCCACAACAACAGGGCACAAACAACCCACAACAACATGTGGTAGTAGCAGACAACTAAAGCAACAACGCAGAATATGGTTTGGCTTTTCAGAGTTCTATTTTGGCCTATTGCGGAAGAAGACAAATTAGTTATAGTAGCAATTAAAGCTTTGTCACATGAGTAGATAGTGTATGGAGTTAAATAGCAGCAAGTGAAGGGAGAGGGGAATCATTTAGAGAATTGTAATAGCCTAGTTTATTAGCTAGTTGTAAACCTTAAAGCCTTTGGCTAATTTTCAATCTATCAATCAATTGTCTTCTTCCTATCTACCTTCTATTTCACTCTCTAAGTACTAACCCGAGCGCAGTCTGTTGCAAGTGGTATCAGAGCAGGCATGGCTCCGGCGACAGGAACCAACACGCAGCGAATTGAGGCTCTTAAGGGGCACGTGTTAGAGGTGGTGTCGAAGGTGAACAACGGAAAGAACTCCATTCAGGCCATTCTGACCAATACTATCATTGCTCTCCGGAGATCCCTCACGGAGCAATTTACCAAGCAGCAAGACACCGAGGCGCAACGACTTGAGGGGCAGATCAACCATTTCCGGGATGACCACACCCAACAAGCCGCCTTAGTAAGGCGCAACCAGGACAAATTCTTCGAGGAGATGCGTGAAGTGATGACGTCTCTACGTGATAGACAGAAACAACCTATCCCAGTGGAGCAGACGAGGGTGAGGTCTCCGGCGCCGGCGGCGGTGGTGTTCCTCAAAGACCGTTCGAACTGGATAATGGAGGCGGGCCATAACCTTTTCAACCAATCAGGGGGATGGAGAGTGGTGAGAGGTATGGCGGCTAAAACAACTGGAAATATTGGAAGCTCGATTTACCGATATTTTCGGGCTCCGACCTGGACTGTTGCTGTTGAGGGCGGAATAATACTTCCAATTCTACAAGAGTAGTTACAGGCGGCGATGGTAACGATGGAAAGCGACGCCCTAAGGTGGTATCAATGGGAAAGCCGTCGGCGACCCTTGCGTGGGTGGGAGGACCTAAAACAGAGGAATGTCACTCAATTCCGACCCACCAACGCTGGTACTCTAAATGAGCAGTGGTTGGCCTTGACTCAGACCACCATGGTGGCCGAGTACCGCCGTGAGTTTCTTGACAAGGCCGTGAGTTTCGGAGAGCCTAATGAAGGGTAAATTCGTCAACATTTTGAAGGAAGATATAGGAAGATATAAGAGCCGAGATCCGGATGCTCAACCCGTTTACCCTTGAGCAAGCCATGGATTTGGCAACTCGAGTTGAGGAGAGGAGCCAGATCCATAGGTTGAAGAAATCGGGTGGAGCTTTTAGCAAACCCGGTCCGTACTCGTTTTTTGATAGAAGCCCAGCCAATACTATCCTTTTGATGAAATGGGTCGGCCAGTCCACACCTTATAACTCCCGAGCATCATCCAACAAATTTACCCAGAGCTTCTTTTTACATTAAGTCCACTAGAAGCACATCTTGTTTTAATGGGGAAGTAAAGAGATTGACTAGGAAGGAAATTCAAGAGAAGAGGGCAAAGAACTAGTGTTTTAAATGTGATGGGAGGTGGGGACCGAATCATGTTTGTAGAGCCAAGGAACTCAGTATTTTGTTGGTACAGGATGAAGAGGAGGGAGTTAAGGAAGGTGAGTTTTCCACTTTAGAAGGACCAACTCTAGAAGAGGAATTGGGGCCAGTCAATGAATTACACAGTGGGGATTTCGAATCTGAAGACTATGAAGCTTTAAGGGAAAACTAGGTGAAGAAGTAGTGATAATGATCGATCCGGGTGCGACTCATAATTTCATTTCCTTGAGTACGGAGGAGAAGTTAGGAATTTTGGTTGTGGGAAGTGGTTCATTTGGGGTTTCGTTGGGGAACGGAGAGACGGTTAAGGGGCAGGAGCTGTGCTCCGGGGTACGGCTCGAACTAGAAGGGGGAGTAGTGGTGGTAGAAGATTTTCTCCCTCTCCATTTGGGAAATTCCGACGTCATATTGGGAGTGCAATGGCTTGAGAAGCTTGGGGCCGTGCTCACCAATTGCTAGAAGGAAAAACCGTAAGCCTCAAAGGTGAATCTTCCTTGTGCCGCACCATGGTAACCTTGCGCAAGGAGAAAGAGCAATTGTTAGTTGAGCTCAACCGAATTGAAGAGGAGATAGAGGAGCTTGATGGAGGGGACCCTGAATTCTTGAAGGAAGCTCTCATGAAATTTCCGGAAGTTTTCAAGAGTCCACAAGGATACCTCCTAGTAGAGGACATGAGCACGCCATAGTGCTTAAAGAAGGTAGTGACCCGGTGAGTGTTCAATCGTACCGATATCCACAATTTCAAAAGGATGAAATTGAGAAACTTATCCGGGAAATGCTTGAAGCGTGGATAATTCGGCCCTCTACTAGTCCTTTCTTGAGCCTGGTCCTCTTGATCAAAAAGAAAGATGGGTCTTGGCGTTTTTGTGTGGACTATCGAGCTCTCAACAAGGAAACCCTCAAGGACAAGTACCTCACTCCGGTGATTGATGAGTTACTTGATGAGTTACATGGTGCTCAAGTTTTCTCCAAACTCAATCTTAAGGCCGACTATCAACAAATATTGGTGAAACCTGAGGAAACTCACAAAACGACTTTTCGTACTCATGAGGGCCACTATGAATTTTTGGTTATGTCGTTCGATCTAACTAATGCTCCGGCAACTTTGCAATCACTCATGAACAAGGTATTTCGGGCCTATCTTCGTAAATTTGTACTCGCTTTCTTTGATGATATCCTTGTATATAGTAGTAGTCAAGATGAGCATATGAAACATTTACAAATTGTGTTAGCCACGTTGAAAGATCACAAGTTGTTTGCAAATAGGAAGAAATGTGAATTTGGTAAGCATGAAGTTGCATACTTAGGCCATGTAATTTCGAAACATGGGGTTGCTGTGGACCAAAGTACGGTGGAGTCCATGTTAATTTGGCCCATTCCAAAAACACTAAGTGAGCTTAGAGGCTTTTTGGGCCTAACGGGCTACTATAGGAAATTTATCTCTCACCATGCCCATATTGCTCACCCTGGTCAACTTAAAAAGGATTTTAAGTGGTCAGAGGAGGCAACTCAAGCATTTGAGAAATTGAAGCACGTAATGACAGTAGCTCCGGTATTAGCGATGGCCAATTTCCACAGAGAGTTTGTGGTGGAAACCGATGCATCGGGGTTCGGATTGGGCGCATTCTTGATGCAAAGGGGAAGACCGATAACTTTAAAAGTGTTGGGCCTCGGAGGTAAGTCGGTGTATGAGAAAGAGTTAATGGCAGTGTGCTTGGCGGTGCAATGGTGGAAACACTATTTGTTAGGCCGAAAATTCGTGGTGAGAAGTGATCAACAAAGCCTACGACACATCACCCAAAGCACCGTGAGTTTGGAATGGTGTATCAAAAATGGATTCACAAAATGATCGGGTTTGATTTCGATCTCCAATATAAACCGGGTTCTTCAAATCGAGTCGCGGACGCTTTGTCCCATAGAGGTGAAGAGAGGCCAAAATTGG